CTCTATCAACACTTGTTTAAAACTCAAACCTTCCCCTTCTGTCCTCAACTATTCTGACTTTAAGATAAAGGACAAACAGGCTAAACTTGACCCATTCTGTGTTTTTATTGTGTTTATTTTGTGTTTTTATTTAAAGTCCCCATGACTAGATGGTGGATATTAACCTGCGCTGAGACCCAGAGGAGGAACAGAGTTCAGCAGCTGATGGGTTTCAGCTGTCAACAGTGTCCAATTAAAAGGAAATCTGTGATTTTAATGTTTGAGTGTGAGGCAGGGGGGCACAGTGAGTGAAAAATCTAAAGAACATTTTGACAATTAATTATTTTCGAAGAAAGTTTCTCATCTAATCCTCAGCGGCAGATACTGCCAATGTTCTGGCATGAAGCTGAAGCAGAGTGACGTCATCTTTACAGACCAGCAGTTTAGATGTTATGGTCTGTGTGTGGGACAAAGCTGTCAAATAGATGATGTACATAAAAGTATACAGTACAGGGTTGCATGATGAGACCAATAAGAAACATTAGATTTTAATAATTTCAATAAAATTATCTCAGGATTATTTGTGCCAGTGTGACTCAACAAGGGTTAATATGAAAGGAAGGAAACCTTGAAACAAAACAAGACTATCTGTGAGAGGACATCAAGGTCACAAACATGAAGAAAGAAAAAAAAAATCTGTAAATTAATTGTTTAGATTTTTTAAAGTTGGGTTTCATGGGCCGGTGCTAAACTATTAATATATTACTTGTTGTCAGTGGCTCTTTGAAGGACTTCAGTTTGGAGAAACAGAGCATAATTCTGACCCAATTCATTAGATAACTTAAAGTCTGAGTGAAGCCATAATCAAAGTGGACTGCAGACATCTCAGAACAACTCAATAAGCAGTCCGTTATACATTACAGGAGTACATCAGTGTCATGATATGCATATTTCAGTTACTTATTTAGTAGTTCTTTGGGCTTACTTTTTGATTTTCCTTTATGGTTTCTCTGATCTCTGTCTGGGTTCTTGTATTTTATCAGTTTCTCTTTGTGACACTAATTTCCCTAAGTTCAGATTTTGATCAGTCTTGTGTTTCTCTCTGTGTCATTTCAATTCAGTTCGATTCGGTTTATTTATATAGCGCCAAATCACAACAAAGTTGTCTCAGGGCACTTTACAGAAACATTCACATACATAAAAGCCAATTAGCAAAGTTCTCTATCTAAGGAGGCCAGCAGACAAGTTGAATCTTGGCTTCGTTGCAGTCGCCCATCCTGAGCAAGCACAGTGGCAACAGTGGAAAGGAAAAACTCCCTTTTTCTCATTCACCATCAGTCATTAGGTCACTTTTGTGTTCCCTGTGAATCCCTTGTTTTTGTACATTGTGCTGCCATATCAGCCCTTTATTTTTGTTTGATAAAAGTATTTCAGTTTAGACTATGATGTAATGAATGTCATGTGAATGGTTTCATTTATTATTTAAATTGAAAGTTGGAAACATTTTTGGACTTGTTTTTATTTTTATTATGAGGCTCTCATTGTGGTATCCAAACAATCTCCATAACAATTTAACATAGGATTTAAAGTGTAAATTATAGTAAAAACGCATTTGGAGGGTGTCCTTTACACAACCCAAGACATTTGAGGTGGCATTTACTCAAAATGGCCTTTTGAAGGTGGATTTCCTGCTCTGTAACTAAATATACAGTTGCCTGCTTTCTGCGATCGTGACTCGAAGGCAGCTCCGACCGAAGAACATTTACTCCCACTCAGGATGTTTTTTTTCAAAGCATCAAGGCTTACCGTTCAAGATGTTTAATATCAGCGATAACACAGGGCCGCTAGAGGGGGCATTGGGAACAACCATGATGTACTCCCCCAGATTCACCCTTAAAGGATTTTCATCCAAGACAGGCACATAATCCTTCAGATCCTCCATTGTGATGATACTTCCTAAGCACGGATTGACAAACACAGTGAATACACATGAACAGAAATAGCTATACAAATCCTCTTTAAATGGCAAAAGAAGCTCTTAGAGCATATATATATATATATATATATATATATATATATATAAAATATATATGATGCAGTCTTTAAACAGGAGTTTGGATGTGCAAACTGAGACTTTTTCAAGACAGCTATAGGTGATGTTACACAGCTTTACTTTAGGCATTGTAGGATTCTAGGTGAAAATGTTTAAAGCAAAGTTTAAAAAAAGCTCCACTGTCCTCCCACATGCAATGAATTTATTAGAAAGTCCCTCATCGAATCAAAGTGTGGTACTCACAATGCAGAAAATTTTAACAGCACATTTGGCCTAAAAATGAGACCAATCAGAAACTGATAAAATAGTTACTTGCAAGCAAAAAGGAAAATTTGCTGGAGTTTTTTGTATTTGTAACGATTGCTAATCCTTTAAATGCATGCCTATTTAAATGTTTCAACTCAAAATGTCAGTGCATGTCTTCATATTGCAATGCAGACTACATTGTAAAGCATTTCTAAAGTTGCAGGGGAAAACAAACTATCGGGACTGTTTTCATCATTTTCCATTATCAAGAAATTCAGAAAGTATTTATGTCTTGAAATGTGAACAAAATTTGTCTACCAATGTCAGCTTTCCTTGAAAGGTGGTATAATGCCAATTTTTCAAACAAAGATATTGGTGTTATCATAGTATTAATACTCAGTTTCTGTTACTATTACACACATTTAGCTCCAAAATTAACATATATTTAGCATTTTATGTGTTTGCAGTAATAGATTTACATCTTATGATTACTTTTAGAGTTACATTAAAATCCAACTGCTGGTCCATAAGATATTTTGCTGACAGACCAACTGGGTTGACTCCTATAGCCTCCAGAGTCCCACTGGCCAACAAGGCCCAATAGGACTCCTTCTTCAGCTTGACACCCCTAACCCGGGATGTTCACCACCAAGTTCATGGATGGCCACCGCGAGAAGCACCAACAACCTTACGTTCACAGCTCAAGGCAGCTACCTCAACAAGCGAAGTGCAGGACATGGCCCACTCAGACTCAATGTCCCCCACCTCAGCTGGGATGTGGTTAAAGCTCTCCCGGAGGTGCGAGTTGAAGATCTCTCTGAGGGGTTCTTCTGCCAGGGATTCCCAGCAAACCCTCAATACACGTTTGGGTCTACCGGGTCTGTCTGGCATCTTCCCCCGTCATCTGTTCCAACTCACTACCAGGTGGTGATCAGTTAATAGCTCAGCTCCTCTCTTCACCCGAGTGTCCAAAACAAACTGCTGCAAATCAGATGACATGACTATGAAGTCAATCATCAATCTATGACCTAGGGCATCCTGGTGGCAAGTGCACTTATGGACACCCTTATGTTTGAACATAGTGTTTGTGATGGACAAACTATGACTAGCACAGAAGTCCAACAATAGAACACCGCTCGGGTTCAGATCGGAGAGGCCGTTTCTCCCAATCACGCCCCTCCATGTCACTGTCATTGCCCACGTGGGCACTGAAGTCCCCCAGCAGAATAAAGGAGTCCCCAGCCGGCGCACCTTCCAGCACCTCTGCCAAGGACTCCAAGAAGGCCAGATACTCTGAAATGCCATTCAGTGCATAGGCACAGACAACAGTCATAGTCCGTCCCCCCACCCGAAGGCGAAGGGAAGCCACCCTCTCATCTACTGGAGAAAACTCCAACACACAGGCACCAAGTCGGGGGGCTACAAGTAGACCCACACCAGCTCGACGCCTCTCACCATGGGCAACTCCAGAGTGGAATAAAGTCCAGCACCTCTCAAGGAGATCAGTTCCAGAGCCCATGCTGTGCATCGAGGTGAGCCCAACTATATCTAGTTGGTACCTCTCAACTTCA